AACGGCCGTAAGGAGTATTAAAACTTATTGGTCTGCGATAATTTGAGAAGAAACTTCGACCGACACACACACATATATATATATATATACACAAGTTTCAGAACAAACACTTGCCTCGACGAAAATGAAAGAAGTAGCACAGCGTAGTTCTGTTTTTTCACTTTGCCAGCAGTCACACGTCACAGAGAAACTCGGTCGAACAAGTCCTTCACCTTCGCACTGTAAGCTTGCGCACGATTAAGGCTGTATAAATAAAAATTTCGCCCGAGATATGGACACAAAGGACACTTTCTTTCTAATGCTGCGTGATTTCTTGTTACTCCTAGCATAACTTTCGCGCAGTTGTCAAGAATTTTTTCCTATGTGCATATGCAACTTGAATCCATTTCTATTCACACAGATGTATGAATTATGAATACATCATTGTTCAAAGTGGAAAAAACATCAATACAATCGTCTCGTTTCAAGTCTAACAGAAATCCGCATGCTTTCTCTCTCTCTCTCTCTTTCGCTCTCTCCAAGTACGACGCAGTGCTATTGAAATGAGAAAATTAAAAAAAATAATATCGACCACGAACGCCATACGTGACACGCATAGAAATCAAATTCCGTAGATGTGACTGAGTTCAATTTATTTTACTGCCGTGGCGATGCATATAACTTATGTGCTTTGTGATTTCTCATCTCCGTAGAGTTTGCGTGGCGAGAAGAGATATGTTGCGGTAACAAGATAAATCTAATTTACTAGAAACAACGGAATTCATTTACTATCGTTAAATGTTTTCGTAAGAAGAGAGAGCAAAAATCTTTTCTATTGAAGTAAACTGCTTTGTCTCTGTTAATAGCGAGAAATGGTCATTACTAAGTATAACGGAAAATGTATTCAACCTTAACACGCTGTTCATTATAACTCGCCTTACCACATAAATATATAACTTTTAAAGATCCGCAACTATTGCAATAACGTATGTCGATGCAATCTATACACGAATTTATAACGAAGTATAGAAATTTCAAATATAGAAAAGAAATGTCACCTTGATGATATTTTTTGAACTTAATATAGGTCGAAAGTCAATGCCGAACAAATCGTTTCTTATTGTCTCGTCAAAGTCTCGACAATCCATCAAAATAGTAATTATTACAATTTCTATAAAAGCGAAAATTGAAAAAAAATTGAACAGAACATAAGCTGACACAATTTAAACAAAAGCTTTTTTTCATTATGTACGTTTACAGTAGCTATCAACTACACTGAGAGCGCCATTTCATTCCAATCATCTTTCTAAAGGGCAATCACTCAGTAGCGCTCTTTTCTCATTACGTGTATTATATATACAAAAAAAAGGAGAGAGAGAGAGAGAGAGAGAGAGAGAGAGAGAGAGAGAGAGAGAGAGAGAGAAAGATAGAAAGAGAGAGAGAGAGACAGACAGACAGAAAGAGAGAGGTAGAAGAGCAACGCCGACAATGCCAATCTATCGTGAAAAACGAAGCACGCGGCGATCAGCTAGTAGCTGAATAAATAAACGACAGAACCAATCGAGATTTCACTACTGCAAAAGAACTGCGTGCACGAGTGTTTTAATCATTTTAAAGGCGGAACTGATCAATATTTTCAAGTGCGACGGGATATTGAAAAAGTTAAATGGGTGCCGGTATTCTACCGTGGCCTAATTTTAAAATTTATAAAATCAGGATAATCTTGGAGAGACACAACTGAAAGTTACATCCCTGGTAACTAGATCACTTCAAAATCCGACAGGAGAAAATATTTTGATGTATTCAAATAACTTAACTATCAGAGTATTCTTAATTGAAATGACACGGTAACACCCGTTAATAAGCCAGAACTGATGTCAGATATAGATATATGAGTATATTTATTTGTCCTTTCGCAAGTATAGTATAGGATATTTTTTTCATCTACAAATTTGTTGAATATTACATTACATATATTGATTTATGGAAAATTTTTATATTATTCGAATCCCGGTGATCAGAAATTCCGTAAATTTTTTATGAATGTGAATAGAGTTAGTCTTGAATAATTTAACAGTTGATTCTTCGTATCCCACTTCCAACGTGAACCGTAACTATGGTTCCTGGTAACTTTTTTGAAAGGAATTGCTCGACACCCTATTGTCCGAAGACAAACATACTTCCCAAGATATTTTTTTCTCGAATAACAGATTTCCTAGAATAATTTTTTCCTAATGTCGCTATTTCAAATTTAGATTTCGGAAATATATTTACGTATTTATGGAATCGATTATATGTTCTGCGACGAATATATACGTTCAGAGTTCGTGGGAGTATAGTCAATAATTATGCCTAGTGAATTACGTGTAAAAAATATACTTAAGAGAACAGGATGAGGCGTGCCGTATTTAGACGAGCACTACAAGGATGTAGTTGCGGAGAGTAGGCACGTGTGTGCACTTGAGGAGTTAACGAGAACAAGAAGCTGGCGGTGTTCACCCGTCTAGTTGCAACAATGTTCTATTCTCGGGGATACTGCGATGCACCATGATGACTCTGTTCTCTCTCTCTCTCTCTCTCTCTCTCTCTTTCTCTCTCTCGGGCCCAAAACCCATGTAGAGATGAGAGAGAAGGAAAATTTAGAAAAAATGCGTCAAACCTTTTTTATGGAATCTTGAGCCTTGGGCGCGCATGCGTTTCGGCGCGATAATTGTCGTCGACCATGCTCGCGCGTAACTCTCTCTAAAGTAACTAAACGTTGGCCGATGCGTTACACATGTGTCGCGGACTCGAAAATTATACGACACCACATACGCACATGTATACTTTATTTTCTTGTATTGTGTACTGTTATCGAATAACACGCTTTTAATTTTTCACAATAAAAGATAACGTCTTGATTCCAATTGCGGAAAAATAAATATGTATTTGCATTCTGTGTGTATAAGGTGGACAAAATGGGGTGACTTACATGCAATTAAACTGCAACGCATGCGAGTTCGATGTACCAGAGCCTATTTTCCTTGTTACTCGCTCGTAGAATTGCACCAGCGTTTCTCAAAAAATGTATGAGTTAAGTTCGAAATTACCCTACCCACCGCTTGAGAGACCCAAAGTCTCATGTAATTTTATCCGATTGTTTCATAACAGTCTATTTACATTTCTTTATTTTTCGTAACAACGACATCGAATGGCTCATGCTTTTGTCGTTGAAAGTTCTAACACTAGATAAATTATTGTAGTTTTATTGAAAATCGCCATCTGAAGGTATTTCTATCAATTATCAAAGTCACTGCGCTGAAACAAACTTTCAGAAACACCAATGAGATGCAGGAAGCCATGAGAATTGAAAACCGCGAGACGAGCACATTAACATTATCAAAGGTTATGATCTGACAAAGATGCTTAGTAGGTCATGCGCTGGCATATTCGTTTTACATGTATATACACAGCACGACACTTGGAGCGGAAAGAGCAAGACTCTGCTGCGCTGAAGTTTCTGCAAGTACGCTGCAGGCACAGTGGTGGCCGACAGAGACAAGCACGCGCAGAAAGAGGAGCCGCTTAATGCACTGTACTCTCTCCGAGCCCACTAATAACGTTATACACCTAACTAACTTCGTCGATGTAGTTAAGTTAGCTGCTGCTGCTGCTGCTGCTGCTGCTGCTGCTACTCTCTGGTGCTCTTGACCAGACTCAAGTGAGACGACTAAAACACGCTTCTTTGAAGTGTTTAGCCTGAAAATCGACATTGTTTGTGTGCAGTTTCAAATACAATGTCCTACTTCAAAGGTTCGCATCCTTAAAGTTTATTATTGAATAAGAACGACTGAAAAATACTCAACCGACAGACAGAAAATTGATGCAAATTGGTACATGTCAGTGATGACAGCGGAATGACAAGCACACCCTGGAATAACCGATTGAACTAGTATGTACGCAAACATAAATCTGTATAAAATTGCTAATGGAGGCGCATTGTTACCGATTAATATCACGGTCAACTGAGCATGCGGAAACATGTCACTGGTTTCATTTTATAAAACGCACGAAAGAGTCGCTTACACGGCTTCGTTACACCGCAACTTAGTAAATGACTGCGCTAAGTGACATGCGCTGTCTCGTACACGCGTCTCTCTTTTTGAATACAAAAGGAACGCACAGTAGCAGACAGGCTTTAACGAGGATATTGATCAGAAACTCTGTAGTCTTTTTTCTATGTTGGTCCCTCATCGAACCATGCCTGATCGCAATTCACGATGTAACTGTTGTGTTCTTTTCGGGAAAGATATCGCGGTGTGCATCCAGTACTCTGATGTGTAAATTTTCTAGTTAAGGCTACATACATGCGTGAAAGTCTTATCGCGAACTTGTTTACGTTGACATTGCATTTGTTTTGTTTTCAACTCTTTTTTTGTTTCACAGTACCAAGATAAATAATAAAACCGGTCTAGTACGAAACAACTAGATAATGCGATAATTCGATAAGCATTAGTTTGTGCTGTATACATATTTTCAATATCAAAATGGTTAAACAAATTTTCAATTAATAAATCAATCTATTATTTATTGATAATAACCTCAAAAACAGAAGCATATGTTTAGCCAAATAACAGTGTATTATAAAATAGAACTAATAAAGGAATGGTCAGTAATTTAATAACCTCGAAGTAGTACGTTGATTAAATTTTAATTTTGACGGGAATAAAAGATTTTAAGAACTATGCAAAAACAATTGAACATAGCTTTAAATAAACAATGAAATATCATTCAATTAGCTGTCCTTGAAACCTATAAGCATTATAAATTGAAGCAAACCCAACAGCTTTAGCTATGTGCCGATTAATATCCGAGGTCAAAGTCCAAGAAGGATTTACCCTCTGACATGTACACACACACGTCGAAATCTCGCTTATCCAATACAGAATCTAATTTGCGCGCGCATAAGAGCTTCATTTTGCTGAGAGGATGGCTGGATATACATACAGAGAGCAGTAGCGCGGGCGCGTGCATGCACTTACCTTATGCCGCCTCGAATCGTGTCGTAGTTGAGAGTTCGAGAGCCGTGCATCCACGTCACGTAGCCCGTGGGATGTGGTACTTTGCTGACCACACACTTGAGCTCTATCGTACTGCCGGCTTTGTAAAACTTGTCGCCTGCGGTTGCGCCATGCTCATCCACTATCTCCACACGTGGCACTGCAAAAAACAAGCAGGCAGCAATATAATAATGACGATACTGAGATTATTGCTGGATAAGATAGCTTTTTTCCTTTTTCATAAAGAAATGTGAATATTAAATTTGGGATCGAATCGATATTTTTTAACCGAACATTCGTGTTTTGCCATGATACTATCTATAAACCAGAATTATAGTTCTCATAATTTAACCACTTTAGGCAACAGTACTGAATTATTAGATGCATCGTAGGCATCGTACGTTCATTTCAAATCACTAATCTCAACTGCATGAGAACGCAATAGCGAGAAGGCATATCCATCGGTGAATGCCTTGCGGCCTAGAGCAAGTCGTAACACAGTCAAACAAGTGTGTTGTATGTGCTATTTGCCAAGGCTTGGACGTATAGTAAATGCGGGCATGGAACGCAACCCCTTGGGCGAGAATGGCAGACAAAAGAGCAGGCGCAGTGCCGTGGAAGAACGGAGAATATGTAACCTCGGCAAGTCGGATGCGGCTGTGAGTGTGCACCATTTGAATTTCAATCTTCGCCAGCGTAGATTTTTTTTTATTCGGATCTTTCCGAGAATTGAAATATGTGCACCCGAAAGATTTATGCGACAAACGAGGAGTTAATTGCTTTCGAACGGATACGATTTAATAAATATCCGGTATATAGGTATGAAATCTGAGAAATGCTCTTATAAGTATGGCTCACTTATAAAAGTTGAATAATATACTTTCAGGCTATCGGAAGTACAAATTAATATATAAAGGATATTTATTCGGCTGGAATGTTTAATCAATTCACGATTCTAACATTTAATTATAGCTGGGTAAGTGCAAGCGAGCGTTATGAGAGCTTTTGTGAAACCACATCCATATATAAAAAATAAAAATAAATGCTTACATACGTAGATCTGAACTCGACGTGGTACACATATTTGCTGTACAATGTAGACAATGCGGTCAAAGTTACTCAACTCAGAAGCGAATGGCTTCCTAGTTGTGTGACATAAACAAATAACTGCGGTGTATTGTTGACAAAACATGTCCTTGAAAATGCGATCGACAATGCACTCAGCTAACCAACAGTACGTCGACCTTGTTATCGCTTTGCGCAACCTCCCATAAAGCTCATTTACGTGAAATTGATGAGACCAAAACTTCTGATTGCGTTGAAACGCACGCCTTAGCCAGTTTTACGGCGAGTCGCTGTACCTATGAGAGAAGCAAAGACTCGTGCATAATTAAATATCTCTTCCACGCGAGCTCTCGACCACTGTGGTTAGTTGGGAGCGAGAGCAAGCTAACACAAACGAGTGCGCCCTCCGAGAGGTGGCAGCGATCGATTGAAACGGTGATTAAATTTTCAGCTCACCACGGTTTAGCAGGTGCTAATCGATTGCACGGCTATTTTCAAGTTTCTGACCGTTGAAATATAACTAATTTTCTTTTACAATGTAATTTTACAATTTATGCGCGCTGTTGTGACAATGTACAGTAGAATAGGTCAGCGTTCTGTCAGACGTGCGAGTTAAATTTTCAGACACTGCTTTAAAAGAAGTCGGGGGTTCAGGTAGCAAAGGCCCACGTGCGAAATAGTTTTTATTTGTCGAACCTGCCGCAATTTGTGTTTTCCGCAGGTTTCCTGTTTTTCTGTTGCGCCTTTGTTCCCCGATCGTAAAATCATAAAGCGTCTCTGTTTTCGATGTCTCTTGTTTCTTTTCTCCGAGCCATAAATTTAAGCAAAACAAGCGATATTGATATCTAGATTTAAGTGGCGTTTAGATAAGTAGCGAACTTTCCCTTTTAATTTAGGTAATCAATTTGAGCCTCGAGCATAAGGGCGAAGGCGTCATCATGGCCATGAAACCGCCAGTTCCAAGAGGCGTGAGACCTCGCGAAAAGCTTGGCTTCTGGGGTTTTTAATGTCACGCGATACTGCAGAGGAAGTTGTTAAGTTGGCTCTGGGTCCGGTAGGCTACGAGGTAGGAGAGCAGGACGGAAAGGAGAGAGAGATGGCGGGCACTTGATCACTTTAAACCAAGTCACTGCGCGCGCGTCGGAATCGAAGGAAAATTAAGGGCACCTTGGGAGAGGGGATGAGTTGGGCCATCATTCAGCTGCGACTCAATTCGCTTCCTTTCGTTAAGTGAACGAGTCCTTTGCCTTTGCTCTTCGTGTCGAGTATCTTGTCCGCGAAAAAATTGTAGCGTGCAGTATTTCACTGTACGTATACTTTGCTTTGTACTCTGTAATTTGCATTGAAAGCTCTATTATATTTGCGCTTGACCAGGCTTTTCCCCGTACAAAACCGGAGTTTTTATGCTACAAGATACAACGTAGTTTTTAATATATTTTAAATAAAAGAAAATAAATTGATAACTAATTATGTCTACTTGTGAATCCCTTACAGTCACACAATTAGTACATTAATTTAATTTTTACCGTAAACATACTATTAAAATAGTTTTTAAATTACTGATTATGAATATTGTTATTGTTATATTTATTATTACTTCAGAAACTACATTCATATGAAACGTATGAATTACAGATTTGGTGAATAATATATGAATTCAGAATTCGGACAAATCACAATGGTGGATATAGTCATATTGAATTTCGCATCAAAATTTCGTTATATTATAAAATATAAAAATTAATTTGCATATTTATGGAGAAATATTTTTTGCAGTTAGATAATATTATCTTGAATTTACGATGCAATGAGTTCCAAGCATATTTAAAGTAAGTGTAGAAAACGTAGAAAACCGCCGACATCCATTATACCTACGCTCATTCTGTCGCGACACAAAGAAAAAAAATAAATTATTTACGCCGCTTCATCGCGAAGCGCTAGCGAAAATCGGAAAAATGTACATCGGAAGGGTGATTCGGACCTTGAAATTACGGCAATTGTACGGGCAATTATAATAACGAGCAACGAAATGTCTGGGGTATTCCCGTCCACCGCTTTCCTATTCTCGACGCCAGGAATTTCCAGACGCCACGTTTACGCTAATCCCTACCGAACGTGGGCGTGTGCAAAGCTTGCGTATCGTCGCCGTAAGGCCACCTACTTGCTCTGAGGGATAAGTTCCTGGAGACAGTATCTAAGACAGATCGGAAGGCGCAGAGACCCCTCTAGGTTATAGGCTGGTGAGTGAAGTGCGGGAAGATGAACGAGGCAAGCGGAAGAAGAACGAAAGTGTGGATAGGACTTAGGGGCAGCGTGGGCCCAATTATGCGAGCGGTTACCTATAAGACTGCTGTAACGCGACGGGAAGAGAGCGGCGAGATCCAGCATCGTGCGCTGGATGCTTAGATTAGTTTAGTTCTAGTTGTCTCTTCGTGCGAAGCAGGTCATCCATTGCTCATAAAATAATCAGTTAAAATATCAGGCTTTTACCCTTGAAACTCCAGGGTTTTTTTATGCTGTCATTATTTTGTCTTTTTGTGTGCACATGCGATTCTACATATAAAATAGTGGAGTTCTTTAGGATATAGAAGTGTAATCTCCTTATAAAATAAAAATAAAGAAAAAAGTGAAATTGAATTCAGAAACTTGATTTTTCTCACTCACACCCTTATAGTAGGTTTATGTTGGATTTTGAACTGGGAAGAGCTACGCAGGACAATCACAAACAAGGACTTGACTGATAAGGATTTTATTTATTTAAGAGCTCAAAGGAGAGATCCTCACGTTAGACAGACGGAAATTTGAGAATCGTAGCTCTCTTACAGTGATGGCACTGCATACGTAAACCTTTATTTCCAACGTTGTTTGTTCAAGAGCGCGCAAAGCGAAGGCTGCTTGATGCTCCGTTGACAAAATCACGCAGAGTAAAACGTGGGACACAAAAAGAAGGTGATTTGATGCTTCGTTAAGAAAGTCTCGAGAATCGATACGGGGCACGCAAAACAAAGGTGACTTAATGCCCTGTTGGGAAATGTTCGGGTTAAGGAAAAGTATGAGTAAGCAAATCTGATGTAACTTGTACAATAATTTTTCGTTTTATCATTGAGACAGAAAAGTAAAATATCTTATGACTATCACGCTGATCAGAAAAGAAATTCTTACTCAGCTATTTAGCACAAACAAGTAAATTTATCGAACGAAAATATCTCTACAAAGTTACGCGTACGTGTGTTTCTAAATAGAAATCAACCTGCTTTGACAAGGGCTGAAAACGTTCTTATACCAACCGCTGGTGAGCGAGTTGAATTATGGTATATTTTGTTTCTACGCCTTCTTCTTCTCGAGACCCAAGGGCCGTAGACGTTGACTTTTCTTCTTTGCCCTGCCAATCATAGGTCCGCCGAACTATCTTGCTCTTCGTTCGTCAACATTGATTAGTTTTAATGATGAAGTCCCACATTTCGACTTTTCACAAGAGTTCAAATCGGCAAACTCGGTGGCGTTTAACTTTACCGTTACCTTTGGCATCGTCTCTCTTTTCTACTTTTATTGTGTGAGCGTCATTAGGTATAAGATAACAGAGCTCTCTAATCATTCTTGAATTCCCCATTCGATTTCCGCTGCAAAAGGTTTTGCAAGCTTTATTTTATTAATAATTCGGTAATAATGAGGTGTACCTCAAGTTCTGCGATGCTTAATGTAAAAATTGCGAGCGAGCGACAGAACGAACGTGTTCAGCATATAATGACGATTGGTACAGCTGCGTATTTATCAATTAGGCCAGTAGGCTGGCCAGAAGAGTGCAAAAAAAAGATCAGCAAGGATAACGAGAACGACAGAGATGGAGAGACAAAAAAAAGTGCGCGGGCGTGGATAATGATGCACGCGGCGCGTAAGGCCCAATCAGCATTTCGGCCCTTCAGACAGTTTAATAGTAGCTAGAAGTGAAAAACGAGGAAGCTTGATACTGTTTGTGGCGAATATTTCCAGGGCAATCTCGATTTTCCTGCGAACAAGGCAAGTCGCTTTTCCACACACCTTTGCCGTGTGCGAAGTTGTTTCTCGCGTTATGTCTGCCACCCTCTTTCAAATAAA